TATCAACAATACTTACTAGAAAAATTCCAAGCAGAGTTCAGTTCATTTGGGAAATTTCGCACAAAACTATCGTAAAAACGAACACTTTCCAAATCTTTGTTAGACTAGAATTCTAGAGGGAACAGAAATACCGTCTCTGCGGATCCTTGAGTGGCTCACAATTAATCCAGTCATCTTTGGACAATCTGTAGTCTCCTGTATATAACAGCCTGAATCCATTCGTAAATTCATACAAAATCCTAAACAATGAAAACACACAAATTAAACGCTTAATTAAACTTTCAACTGTATTTAGAGGTGTGTCAGACAAATGAAGAAAATGTTTCTCTTTTAGTCACTGTAGAACATACTATAATTTGTACAACGAGCTGATAAAACGCAGAAAATCTAGCCTAAGAGCGATAAAATCAGCTCAATACCGCTGCAGTTGTTCTTTAGGAAACAGGAAACCAATCCTTAAATTTCCTTGCAAACTCCCAAGGATCAAAACTAAACAACTTGAAAATGCAGCAGCATAGTCTATAGCGTTAATAAACTGTTATCTTTTTGGCTTCATTTGCGCCACTCAGCGTAGGCAAATAAGTCTTATAGTTCGTATCAATTCAATACTCCCTACTAAAATTGCAAACAAAATCCATTCGAGAACTCCCATTAAACTGGCTGGATCTACTGCCACAAATATAAAACCGGCGAGTGCAACACATTCTGAGCAAAAATGTGAATTTGGGTCCATTTTCTTACCTTCAGCACCAGAGACGTAAGACTGATACCTGAATCATTACAGTGCTGGGAAAGGAGGAAGCGGCTGATACGAGCAATGAATGAAGTTGGCAGCAGACCTTCCTTCCCTTGCCCAAGTTGCCCCGTCGCTCCCATGCGATGTGTAAATGCCCCGCTTTGTAACTCAAGCTCCCCTCTTGATATAAAATATGATTGAAAGTGGTAAACGGAGTCCCATATTGTTTATTAGATGGCGTCAGCTTGGTGCTGCTTCAGCTTCAAAGCTTGCGTGGCTGGCGAGTTGAAATACTCGGACAGACGAACACACAAACACACACGCACACACACTGACAAGGTCGTTACAACATGCGTTTTGGCTGCCTGTTGCAGCGTTCTAGCGCTGCACAGCAAAAACGCATGATGAGAGGGTCGCACATGGCAAAGGCACATACTCCGGAAGTTTGATCCTTTTAGCATTTCTGGTCTCGAGTTGAAATTAGATGACAGAAAGTGCGAACACACAGGCACACACACACGCAGACACACGAACACACAGATAGCTTCCTGCCAATATACGTTTTTGCGTTTGCATATATGCAAAAACGCAAAATCTCACTAAAATAAGCGTATTTTGCCATTTGGGCAAGAAAGCGTTGTTTATTTTCGGAAACTAAGTGTAGTACACATCAGTCGTGAAATAATTGAGAAGGCTCACATTACGGAGCCGAGCATGTGCTGTGCATCCAGAAAAGTCACATCGGCCGAGCATACCGGAAGCATATTTTTCTTCTCATCCTCGGCACATATGGCAGTGATCGTGAACTTCTCATTGTACTCCTTGGTGACAATGTGCTCCTGGAATTCCGCCATCAGCATGCACTGTATGCAAAAAAAATTCTCCAGCGGGTACGCTGAGTATGCTGACTTTCGAAATCTTACCGTCAATCTGTGGTATTTGCTGGAAGCTGCTGAGAGGAGGATTTTCGATACAGGATGGCAATAAAACACGGCACTCTTGTTCAACAGCAACTCGTAGAACGCATCACTTTCCAAGCCCCACATGTGATCTGCAAAGCAAATGCACATCTTGCTGAAGTTCCGCATGACAGTATCCAGCAAATGGACTCTCCAGAAAGGAGGGAGGAGGAGAAGCGAGAATTACCAGAGTGAAGGCGCATTATAAGAGGAGGCACTTAACTCATTCAAAGGATGCAAAACAGAAATGGGACCGAGTAAATCATGAATTGGAAGCAGGAAAAAGACAAAAAAATCAAAAACTCTTTCCCTATTCGCTATTTCCAACGGGAGGCGGAGGCACTCAAGAAGTAGTCCAAGTGGTAGCAAATGCCAGCAGCAACCACCCACTGACACGACTGTCGATAGCTCCCTCTTTCAAGGATTGCTTACAAGCAAGCTGATGGAGGAAGAAATATATGCATTAAGAAGTAACAAAAGCCAACCATAATGGCAGTGTGAGAGGAAGAATGCAGTAGAAGTGAGGTTCGAGGAGGTGAAATTGTCCACCGATATCCAGTTGCATCCATCGAAACGCCCACCGAAGCATTTCATCCGGGCACTACTGCACTGCAAGAAATCACTCATCAACGGCACTTTGCAGGCACAATCACACAACCGCAGTAAACTTATTTCTTCATTACCTTTTACATCAAACTTCATAATTTATTTGATTTTTATGCGTTCTTGTCGTGTACCGTCAGGACGCTGCAACAAGCAGCAAAAGCGTATATTGCAACGACCTTGTTTGTGTGTGTGTGTGTGTGTGTGTGTGTGTGTGTGTGT